ATTATTAAGAACAAAAACCACTGTTCTCTGAAACAATCAGAATTTCTCGTTGTTAGCATGTCCCAAATTGGTCACTGAGTCCAATTTTTGTTCAATGCAGAAATCCAAATTAAAGCATCAATGACATATCTCCCTGGCCTCTATTTGGAACACAACTAGTGAGGGGGAGCCTAGCACCTGGCCAGATAATTGACTCCACTGTTGAACAACTCATACTGTTTTTGAGTGTTTTTTCTAGCGTTCAATCAGAATCTGCCTGCTTGTAACATAAATCCATTGTTCCATGTCCTACATTCTGGAATGATAGAGAAGAGCTCTTAACCTTAACCTTCTGTGAAACGCCCTTTCAGGCAGGGATGTGCTGGCAATTAGTTAACAAGGGGCTTTCTGTGGCATGGGGGGGAAGGGGAATGAGGGTACTGGTGGAGGTGAGAAGAGTGGCTGGCTCCTGGGTAAACTGGAGTGGCTGGAGGGAATTAGCTTGCTCTTGTTGAGCTGACTGCCCTGATGAGAGAAGACTGCAGAGGAAGAAAGCACTGAGAAATGAGTCTGGAGGCTCTCAAAAGGACAATAAAGTATGAAGCAGCAGTATCAGGTTGTGTCAGCTGCAGCCCTGTTGTAAGCACAGGGGTTACTAGGCAATGAAAGCATGGGCTGGCATTATGGCTGGTAGAGGGGAATCCTCTTTGTGCCACAATGGGCCTTTCCCAGTTCCTGTAGAATCTAGGTAACAAGTCTGATTGGTAGCCATATCAAAACAAGAGGCATCACCTTGAAAAAAGCTGCAGGATAAGAGGAACTAATTAATAAACTATTTTTGCTACATTAGATTAGATTATCCCCCCAAAGTTAACAAGGGCCTTGCATGATCCCCACCAGACCCCTCCAGCACATCTCTGCTTTGGGGTATTTCAAGAGTACCATCATATCATCTCCTGCTCAAGTTTTGTCTTTCAAAAGCAAATCCATCCATTCCTCTTCATAGGTCTTAATTATCATCACTGCCTTTCTTGAATGTTTTCCCAGTTTGTCTGAATCCTATTTGAAATATGATGCACTGGGGTCTGACTCATGCAGAGTAAAGTAGAATATTTACTTTCTGTGATTTGAAACAGTACTTCAGTTTATGCAGCCTACTATGTTGTTCGCAGGACCATTGCAACCCAGGTGTTTTCCATTCAGCCCTGTGCATTATTTCTGTTTTCTAGGGTTTTATCCCACCCAGTTTGGTGTCATCTGCAAATTTACTACTAAAATTTGCAAATATACTACAGAGGTTACCTCATCAAAATTATATTAGTTTAATTTGTCAAGACTTATTCTTGGTATGAGCCAGTTTGGTGTAGTGGTTAAGGCATCAGGCTAGAAATCAGGAGACTCTGAGTTCTAGTCTCACCTTAGGCACAAAGCCAGCTGGGTGATTTTGAGCCATCACTCTCTCTCAGCCCTAGGAAGAAGGCAATGGCAAACCACTTCTGAAATCTTGCCAAGAAAACTGTAGGGACTTATCCAGGCACGAGGAGTCAACACTGACTTGAAGGCACACCCCCCCCCAAAAATGCTTGGTATATCTATGCTGACCTGCCACATTGTTTTCCAAGTGGTTGTAGATAATTGCTTTGTAATCTGCTCTGAAATCTTCCCAGGTATTGATGTCACACTGACTGATTTGTAGTCATAGTTTTTCCACTCTTTGAAGATTGGTCTTGTGGGAATATGTCCTAGCATCCAGGAGTTTCCTTACCATCCTTCACCAACCTTAGCTCATTCTGAACTGCCTTCTTCCTAACATCAGCTATATAGTTCCAAGCGATGTCTTTGTATTCTTTTTTGGTAGCCTGTCCCTCATTTCACCTTCAGTATGCATCCTTCTTTTTTTCTTCAGATTTTCACTAAAATTCTTGTATCGATATATTGACTTCTTCAGTTGTCCTCCATGTTTCCCCTCATTGGGATTGTTTGTGATTGCGCTTTTAGCGTCTTCTAACACTTGTCATCTTGAGCTCCTTTTCCCTTTAGTTTTATTTGCTGTGCATTTTTAATTATCATTATTATAAGTTCGTTAGAAACTGGTTTTTAAAAAATATGTTCAACTTTCATTTCCCTTATTATCAAGAACTCCAGCATTATATGGAGCAGTGTTCCCCAATGTTCCTGCACTTTGATTTTTTCAACTAATCTTCCCTATGGGTTAGATACAAGTCAAGGACAGCTGAACTTCTGAATTTTATGGAATGAGCAGAAACAAAAAATAATGGAAGCATAAGATGATAGACTGTATGTTTCAGTATTTTGGCATAGTTTTAGTCATTCTTCTAGACTTCTGCTTTCCATCCCCTGTGTGAGATCTCTGGCAACTTCATGTTTTGTCTGCAGTGATTATGTCTCCTATTTCTATCTGCTCACCATAGAAACACAGGAAAATTTTGTACAAATGATTTAAGTACAGACAGAAAGCAAAGACAATCTTTTGAAAATACCACTTTTTGAAACCACAGATAAAGATGAAAGTTTTGGGGAGGGTTGTTTCTTTTTCCTTACTTGTTCTGATATATTTTTGAGGCAGAGAACTTTGCCCTCATAAATTGGTATAACTTAATCACTGTTTCTGTGTCTCCATGGTTTGCTTGCATTATTCCTATGGCTACTGGAAGCCAAATTTGCATCATGAATGTTTTAAAATAATCAACAACCTATTGTAGATAATTAGCATAGACATTTGTCTTTGAAAATCACTATGGCAACTTTGGAAGCCACCCCCAGGTGTACAGACCTTTCCTCCTACTAGGTGCCACTTTCTGTTCCGTGTTGCTGGGAAGCAAGAATGGACAGCAACTAGCCCATCTACCTGATATGCAGCAGGCATGAGAATTAAGTTGCCAGTTACTGCTGTTGTACAAATCCAAGAAGGTATCATTTTCATATCAGCTTGTTGTCCTTCTCATTTACAGAATATAACATTAGCAGAGTGAATCTGTCTTCTTGAATCTGTCGTCTTACCACTTCCTAAGAAACTTGCTTTTTTTCTAGCAGTTTTCTTGTATGGAAATTTGAAGACCAAGTGATATGGCTATAAGATGTAGATGAGGAAGCTGTAGTTGTCCAGATTTTGTGACAGATTTTAGTATCTAGCAGCCCTTAGCTGCCAGCATGACCAGTCACAAGGGATTATGGGAGCCGCAGTCCATCCAAGGGCAGCAGATTTCTTCACCATATATAATAAAGCCAACCCCTCTGCAGCACATAGAAATTGGATGGATGGATGGATGGATGGATGGATGGATGGATGGATGGATATGAGGGGAGCCCCAAGGTTTAAATCCTACGTCTTTTTTCTCACACTCAGAAAGTAGATTTTGGGTAATTCTTTTCCCAGTCTTAAGAGTCAGAAGTTCCAAGTTTATACTGTATAATGATTTTGTCTGAACTGAGTAATGTTGGTTCCTGCCTCATGAGCTCTAATCCTTAAAGGTGCTCAGAAATTACATCTTAATGTATGGTTACAAATGCTCAAGCTCTTAGGCTTCCGTCATAATTTGATTTGAGCAGTATTGACATTAATGGAAATACTTTTAAGCTAACAGATTCTGTCCTGTGAGAGAAAGTGGCACAGCGGAGATGTCATATTAGCATTTGAAATGTCAAATCTTATTTCTGGAATAACTAAACATGTTAGGGACTCTGATCACTGGATTATCTCCCTGACACAAAATCAGTGGTTACTTTCTTTTGCTTCTGCAACAGAAAGAAAAGTACACTCTCCAGAGGCTGTATTTGATGCAACAAAACCAACAGGGAGTCTTGGGGGAGTTTTTAAAAAAGGACAATTATTAGCGTGTATACTTTTTGGCAGGGGGGAGGGGACTCCAGTCTGTTTAAAAATATACAAACTCTCACAAGATTTAGTTTTTCTTGACCCAAAAGCTGGATTACTTTGGTGTAGAATATTATTCCAAATGTAGGTTACATTTAGTTCTAAACTACTGAGATATGAAGCCATCCTGCTGTTTGAGAGCATTTTGCTTTCGGTACCAATCAGTTTTGAGAAAAGGTTATTTGGGGAGGAGAAGTGTGCCAAGGCATCATCCGTTAAGCCTGTGGTCATTTTTTTCCCCTTACTCCCAGTATTCCAAGTTAGAGTGCTATCCACTTGTACTTAGGAGTTAGAAGACTATACTCACATGAAATATGCTAACCCTACTGTCGATCCCTATTCTTTCTCTGTCACCTGGGTTCCCTCCACCATCAAGTATGACACAGCCTAACAGATTTTACATGCTATGAGGCTGCCCTTGGATGGTGTCAGAATAAGAATACAGCCAAGGATAACTTAAACCTGCTCTACTCATGTGCTGGAGACAAGATGAAGGTAGTGTTATGGGAACATGGTAGAAACAACACATTGCCAGGGCCTGTTTATGAGACACCTCTGTCCAGAGCTAAGGAAGAACTGCAGATACTCTATTCCCTTTTAAGGAACTGAAATTTGTATTTCAATGCAGGGCAAAAGCCTAGGTGTCCTTGAACTGACAGGCCAGTCCTGTATATTCTTAATTTGAGCCAATGCTGATCATTTACAATTTCAAAGGCATTTTAAGATCAGCATTTGTGTGTAAAAACAAGGCATTTTTATTTCCCTGTTCATACCTAGGCAAAATTGTTTTTTTTTATATTGTGGCTTCAGAGGCTAGGACTTTTGGAAAACCATTTTACTATGAAGTATATTAGAATTGGGTTGTCATTTAATAGCAAAAGCTCCTATTACTATTGCTTGGAAATGAGTCTGTAACACAGAGTGCTAACCATCTCTTGACCCACAGCCAGAGAAGACCTGAATGGAATTGGCCTGGTGACAAAAATGTCTTTTATGGTTCCCCAGCTGCTACATGAAGTAGAACTCTCAGTGTCTTTTTTTTCCCCTCTCCTCCCCACCCCCCTTATTCCCTAGATTTCAAACATTTCATTTGCTAAGCAATATTTTTCTTTCCTTCTTTCTGTAGGGTTGTTATTCTGAGTGAAGGACCTTGCAAGCGCTACTAAGGGACTATCATGGGCAAAATTGCATTTCTGAAGACCCAGTTTATAGTTCACCTCCTGATTGGGTTTGTCTTTGTTGTGAGTGGCTTCATCATTAACTTCATCCAACTATGCACACTAATCCTCTGGCCTATAAACAAACAGTTTTATCGACGAGTAAACTGTCGCCTTTCCTATTCATTGTGGAGCCGTGAGTATACTATAGTTTCTCTGCATTAGCTTGGAATGTGGCTTCTTCTGCTTGTTGGTTTCTTCTCATACTGTAGAAAATCCTGTATTGGAGCAGAATCATCCTTCAGAAATGTGTTTGCATGCACAAGTATTATGACCCTGGGATGATCTATGGCTGCCTCCTCTCAGGAAGTGGTTCTCAGAATTATTTGTGCATGAAGGACTTGAATACAAAATATCTCTTCCCTATTTTCCCAGTCTTTGTACTTATAGGTATGGCCTAGCTGCTAGGATGAAAGGGAAATAGGCTCCCATGAGAAGGAAGTGAATGGAGAAGGAACACACAGTTCCCACTGTCAATACCTAAGGCACCTCCTCTGGAGTTGTTACTGTCTTTCCTTGCTCACCCCCTTTTAGTCCCAGAAAGAAATAGCTTGTCTGTACAGCTAGCATAAATCCTTCATCTTGCCATTCAGGAGATAGTTCAAGTGAGTATTAGCAATTCCTTCTCTGATCTTGCTTTCAGTCCCATCCAGTATCATCCTCTGTAACCACTGGAGAAGATAATTTTTCTGTCCTTTTTAAAATGATTAGAATTTGAAAATCCATTTATCTTGTTAGCCTTCCCGTGTTTGCTCAGTGTCAGTTCCCCCAACCTTTCTAGTATTTATTCTAGTACTTCTATTCTTCAAACTTTGGTGGTAAATGGTAATAAGTAGATCAGGAATTTAAATAAATATTATAGGCCTTTGGATTATTGTCTTCAGGAATAAGAACACTAATTACAGCAATCTATGACAACAAACACATGTAAAATCTTGTGCATCTTACTGTCTCAATAGTTTAAAATCTTTTTGAGGACTCATATGCCTTTCATTTCTTTATCTTGTAAATTGATAAACATAAACAATTACAATATATATATTTGAAAGTATTCTTACTTTACATCATTTTTTCACCCCTGCCTAAAACTTTTGCACAGTACTGTATTTGTACTGCAGTGCTGGCCCAAAAGGTTCTGGTTACCATGAAAAATTCTACATTCTGAAAAATGTAGAACCGACTGTCATTTTGTACAAACAGAAGGAGTTTGTATCTGTATCTTCAAATTGTATCTTCAAATTTAAACAAGTGAAGCTGAAACAATTATTGTAAATCTCAAGTAGTCTAACTCTTTTGTTCAAATGTTTTTTAAATGGCATAATCTACTTTGTATATCTGAATTGCTAAAGAGTGGGCGATTAATTATCCTTTATAGATGTTCATTAAAGATGGTGAGATAATTAATGGTGACCTCACTATATGCTACCTAGTGTTAGTTAAGGTATAGGCTTCCCCTTCAGATCCAAACTTCCAAATAAGTAGAGAAAAGGCATTAAGGAAATACCCTACAAAATATTTCACTTAAGTAGGAACTGGTGGGCTATATCCATTTCAACTCGAATTTTAAAAGAAGGCAATCATAATACCGTTAAGAAATATCCATTCAAACAATGGGTTAATGAAGGGAATGTGATTGCACAAAAACAAGTAATTCAAGATAACTGCAAGGGGATATACATCTGAGACTCAAGTACTATGGATTTAATTCCAGTAAAGTCTATTTCTTTTCAATATAAAAAACTTGACCATTTCATAAAAAACTAACATTTTCAGTGATGATTAATAAATCAAGTCTCTTAGCCATACAAAATGTCACTTTAGAAATATTTACTGGAGAAGAAGAAACTAATAATTCCAATATAATCTAATTGTTTCTTATAGACAATTAATGAATGTCAAAGAGAAAAAAATACTGAAAACCACTAAGATCAGTTTAATTAGTTTATAACTCAAAACACACTCTCACTTAAAAGTTACTTCCTGTTTCCATTTGGATATATTGGAGCATATCCAGCATATGTGTTAGTCTTAGTGTGTTACTCTGGTTCATGAGAAAGTATAAGGGTCTGGTCTTCATCTCTTTTTTATACACCCACTTCTTTTGATTACCATGGAACTCAGAATATTTCAACGTTTTAAAATAATCCTGCTATCAATAATTTAAGGAAATGGAAAATTATATTTCAGATTATTGGTTGGATGGCCATGGGTGGTAGAACTTGCAGGCAGGAATAATACTGCAATTAAAATTAACTAAATAACCACTTTAGTGAGGCAGGAGAGGTAGAAGAACTTTGTTTATAGTATAAAAAGTTGTCACTTTTAGCTCATTTCAGGAGAGACAAATTTACTTTCATTTTTTGGTACACATCAAGAGGTTCAATCAATGGTATCTCCAGTTAAAGGGTTTCAGATAACAAAGTGCTAAATAGCTCCTGCTTTTTGGAAGAGACTATACCAAAATCTTATACATTTCTTATATACAAGAAATGAAAAGGAGGATTTAGAGCTGTTGTTAGACTATGAAGTCTAAACATGAGTAATCTTTCTGAAGCTGGGATGCAAAACCTGAGATCTCAAGGTTGCGTGCAGCCCCCAAAGTCTTTGGTGTCACCTCAAAGCCCCTCCAAAGTTGCTACAGAACTGCATCTTTTAATGTTAGCAGGAGTCAGGAGGAGAAAATTAATAAATACATGGGACATTTGTGTACCTTAATTTAATTTTCATTGTGTTAAATATAGTTGCTCTTGGTTCTTCTCACATTGATTTCAGGTACAGTTCTAGCTTAAAAAATAGGTTGTCTGGGGTGAGCTTTAGGTGAGACATGTCAAGTCTGGCATCTGGAATGTTCTACTACTAGGAGGCCATTATGCCAACAAAAGAGCAAAAAAAAAAAAAAAGCGAGGTATAGAAATGGGGCACACCAAGGCAAGAGCTAAGTAATACCATATTCAAATCTCAGCCAGACATCTAGGGAAATGTCCCCAATATTGACAAGTGTTTTGGCCAAATTGAAACTAGCTGTAAGTTTTTTTGTTATATATCTGATGGGAACTCAGAAACAAACAAAAGCTTTGCTTCTGTGGGGTTTTGAATATGGATTCTGTCCATGTAACATCAAAGGCTAATCTGTCCATTTGGGACTAAGTAGGTGAAAAAGATGGTGTTGTTACAATTCCCACTATGTCTTGTCATTGATCACTAGCAAGCTGGAACTGACTGAATTTCAAGCTATCAGGGCAGTGAGGAGGGCATCTGTTGCATGTTCCTCATCTACATACTGTAGTGCTAAATCAATAGACTTCAGGGAGTAAGATTTTGGTATAGTCTCTTCCAAAAAGCAGGAGCTATTTAGCACTTTGTTTTTAAAATGTCTAGTTCTCAAATGTCTATGTTTATTTGCGTACACTGAGACTAATATACCAGCAGTTTAGCTTTTTTCTTTATTCTTGCCTTGAGGATGATTCACCTAAAATTCTCCACTCAATATGCCTCATCATTTCAGGACTTGAAATGTGACCTATCAAGCATTGAATATAGAGTAATGTGAAGAGATAGATAGATGTCAGTTAATGGTAGCCTATGATGACAACTATTTTATTCATAGCGTAGTTTAAACTGAGCTGTTTACACTCAAGTCCCTCTTATTTAGATGCCTCTAGAAAGAAACCTTGTTGTTATTTAAGGACTTTCATTTTCTCTTAAGCATTATATAGGTATTTGATGAGGTAATCTTGGAACTGGAAACCTTTTCCTCACCTTGGGATGCCAGCCCTGTTCAAATCATTCACAGACTTGCTTCCTTGGGAGATTGCAATCCCTTGCTGAGCAGCTCTTGTCTCAATTGTCAATGTTGCACTTCTCTAAAAGCTCACTCCTGATATAAAGCAGCATGGCTGTTTTGTCTGACTTCCTCATAGAGAAGACACTTGGCTGCATATTTAATTCATGAGGAGAAATTTTTGTCCAACCTTACTTGTTCTGGCTAGCTCTCAATGACCTGAGCATTTCAATAGCTCAGCATGGCCAGTTTTTAATGCTATCATGTCTAATGATACATCTAACCCTAATTGGAGGCTTTATTATCTACACTTCATTCATTCATTCATTCATTTTCCATGGCCGCCCATCTCAAGTAAGTGACTCTAGGTGGCAAACAATAATAAAATCAATTAAAACCAAGTACAAACATAATACAAATATA